GGGGTGGCAATTTCCATCACGACCCGTTACACGACTCGAAACCCGCACGGAAAAAACACGACTCGAACCCGCACGATTAATAATTGGGTAATTTTCAGGTCAACCCGTTTATTAAACGGGTGGGTTTTGGGTCAACCCGCCAACCCGTCAAAACACATGTGTAACCCGTTTATTAAACGGGTCGTGTCAACCCATGTAAGACACTCCAACCCACGAAAAAATATAGAGAAATAGAGACTTCAGAACACACATATGGGGTTTCGAACCCCCACCATCCTCATTACTCTCCAACACCTTATCCATCATGTTATATACAACTTTGTGATTATATACTATACCTTTTGATATTTATAATGTTTCTTTTTCTTCTTTTGTTTTTCTTTCTTTTCCGTCTATTTCTCCTTTGTCTTTTTTATTTTCTTTTCCTTCTCTCTTTTCTCCTCTCTTTTTTCACTTCTCTTTAGTTTTCTCTCCTCTCTTATTTTTTTTTTCTTTCTTTTCCTTCTCTTTAGTTTTCTTTCCTCTCTTTTCTAATTTTATTTCTTTCCTTCTCTCTTCTCACTCTCTCTCTCTCTCCCTCTCTCTTATTCTTTTCCTTCTCTCTTCTCTCCTCTCTCTATCCTTTTTTTTCTTTTCCTTATATTTTCTCTCCTCCCTCCGTTTTTTTATTTAAATTTTTTCAGTTGTGACTTTTGTAACATGCATGTTATTATTTATCAACCCGTTACACGAACCGAAACCCGCACGATAAAAGACGACCCGAACCCGACACGACACGTTTATTAAATGGGTTGGGTTTGGGTTGAGCATTCTTGACACGTTTAATATCCCGACACGACAAGAACCCGACACAACCCGACCCATTGCCAGCCCTAGTTACAACACCGATTCCGATTTGTGCACCGTTGGCTTTAGCAAGACTGTGAAATGAAAATGATGAGTTCCAATGGCTCCGGCCCTGCTGCAATCTGGGAAGAAGAAATTGAGCGTTCTGAGAGGTTAATTATGCTTAAATTTCATGCAACTGTATCATCTACCTTTCTGTCTCCAATTTGTTTTGTTTCTTGTGATTATATCCGGCTACCTTGTTTCCTCATTGTATGAGGAATCAGCCTCATCAGCCTCCTCCATTTTGAAGTGGCTTTCTAAGCATAGTGAGGACCTTGAAGCCGGAGACCTTTTTGAATTGTATGACGTGTTGGAATATGCTGGTATGGTCCTTGTCCAATCCTTCAAACAACTGGGAAGGTATGTTTATATATTCTTGAAATTGCAGCTTCAATTTTTGTGGGATTTATGTAAATTACTGTGCCTGAGATTTTTATAAATTTCCATGAAATTTAATGATTTAGTAGGCTTCATGTGTGGTTCAAAAGTAATGTGTTCTTTGGAATACATACATTCATCCAGCTGTTTTACCCAACTCTAGATTCTTTGTCATTTTATTTATCATGGATGTGACTTTATTTGGGTTAATGCAGCACGTCAGAAATTCTGAACGAGCTCAAACTATTATTTGCCTCTGTTCCTACTATCCCTGTTCAACTTCTTCTCACTGGGTACTCTTATCTCCGGCTCAAGTTATCCTTGTTCGGATTCTTTGCTTGATAAGTATTTTATATGCCTATTTGGAAGGTTTGTCCATTTCATATTGTTTGATTCTAAACTCCCAACTATTCATGTCAATTGTCAAATTCTACTTGAGTTAAAATAATCTTCGCTGGACTTGGACTGCCCGTGTTTAGGGAAATGTTTAGGCTGCCCAAAAGTGTTTATTGGTTCTTAAGGTCCTTGAAGTCCTCACATGACATATTTCTAATTGAAAGGGAGGCCAACAAAACTTTAAGAAACTAATCTGAAAAGTTCTCCATTCTTTTACTGAATGAGGTTTCCATTGTTTTCTATTGAATATCTAAGTACAAAAAATCTAGTAGATTGACGAGTTCCGTTTGTTGGCTTATGTACTCATCCTATAAAAGAACACATAAAAGTGCGAAAGTTAATTGGTTGAAAGGTCTTCTTGTTTTCATGCAGCCTAAAAGATCACCAAATTTGTAGATATCTGCTAAAATCAGCTTTAAGTTTGAGCCACCAAAAATAAAAAATAAAAAAAATCCCTTATTCACATTATTGTTGTATTGCTTTCACGCACAAAAGAATATGGTAAAAGCATCATTGGAAATTATGGTTTTCAAAATTTCTGTCTGAATTTGCTTTTCAGGGCATGCTTTTATATATCAGAAGGGCATTCTCATGGTATTCAAGAATTTCTGGAAGAGTTCCTTAGCAGGTGGAGTTTTGTCAATGAACAATATGTTCTTGTTGGTACAGGAGAAAATGCAGATGATGCAGAAAAATGTGATGGGCCTTTTCTTTTGGGGGATGATAAGTATCTAGAAGTTGTTGAGGTCTATGTTTTGAAACTTCTGGCAACCAATTTGAATGATGTTGACCTTGCATCCTCTTGGGTCGAGAATGCTAAATTACCTGAGGACAGAAGACAGGTAAGTAATCTATGCATCATATGATTGATTCTGTACCGCGAGTAGATTGAAGTGGTAATATTGGTTAAGTTCACTCTATGTCTGTACAAATTTCAAATTTTTTTGCTTTCTGTTTTGTTTTTTCTAAAAGACCTTTCTTTGTGAAGTTCACTCTATGTCTATACAAATTTCAACTTTTTTTGCTTTCTGTTTTGTTTTTTCTAAAAGACCTTTCTTTGTGAAATTGGATGGAAAAAACTTGCTGTGGGGTTTAGATTATCTTTCTGACGTGTAAGTGAGGTTTACTATATGGTATGGTACTACAAATAGCAGTCTCATGCTAGCAAAACTCTGTTGTCTACATCTGATGTGACTGTGATTCAGAAGATAATATCTCTACAATGTTAGAAGGGCAACTCCTTTTCTGCCTGCTGAAAGGGGATTTAAACGCAAGTATACAAGACATTTTCTGGTTGAACTTAATGCCTATATAACAAGTTGAAATCATGTTACATATCCTATTCTTATTTGATTGTTAAGTAGTGACGCCGCTGGATGTCGCAATACATTCAGTGGTCCAAACCTAAGCTGTTATCGATTTGAATCTCTTAACACATATCCTGGTGGTAATCATATGCAGTAATTGAGAGACTTTTTTTTTTTTTTTTTTTTGGACAAAGCAAAAGTTCTAAATTTTTTTGAGAACTGGAAACTGTCCAAATAATGCAAGACCTTTCACTTTTTATATTAGCCTATTTATGGGAGTTACTATGTTTGTGCCTTTTGCATGGTGAGTAGTACTCCTTATTGACTACAATAATTATGGCTTACTCACTTATTGAAGAAATTTTCTTCCCATGTGATATGAGACTGTCCTTTAACTTCTTTCTTTACTAATTATTGACATAATGCTGAGTTTTTTGAATTTAACTTAGTTTAAAATGGTATATTCAGTTGATTGAACTTGTAAGTTAAAAGAAATCATTTCACTTCAGTTTCTTCCATGTCGTTTCCTAGGTACTTCTTAGAAGATTACACTCACTGCATTCTGTTAAAGCCACTACCTCATCACAAGGATCCTTCTCATCTTTGCTGGCGGATGAAGCTCATTCAACATGTTTGAAGGAGATAGCTGTGCCGGACGGATATCCAAAAATAAGTACCCTCCAAATGGAGAGACTGCTAAGAACCCAGCAGTTTTTAATTTATCTAAAAGATTGGAACCATGTGTCTGATGGTTCCATTACCATCCCTCTGAAATTGAGTAGTGCTTGGGTGGTAATATCTAATGGAAAGATTGTCCTGGGCTTCTTGATTCTGCTCATATATTATGTTTTCCGGAGAAAACAAGCTACCTTGAAGAGGTGAGATATTCTCTCTTCATAGTCAACAT